AGCCAGGACTCCTGGGTTCTCTCTCTAGCTCTGGGAGAGGAGTGTGGGATGGTGGGTTAGAACATGGGGGGCTGGGAGCCAGGACTCCTGGGTTCTCTCTCTAGCTCTGGGAGAGGAGTGTGGGATGGTGGGTTAGAACATGGGGGGCTGGGAGCCAGGACTCCTGGGTTCTCTCCTTGGCTCCGGGAGGGGAGTGGATTGATTCCGTACAGGGGTCTCTGCTGCTGCAATTCCCTACCCCAAGATAGGGGGCACCGTACCCCACACCTGGCCCTGGCTTCCCCCCTTCACAAACCATTGATTTCTGACCCGAGGCCTGCCCCTCGCCCCCACACAGCCCAGGACAGGCAGGGATGCGCCGCGGAAGCAGGGACCCCAGGAGGCTGCGGGGAGCAGAGAAACCCCCATTTATTGCCCTCCATGGCCCTGCCGCTGAGCCACAGCTCAAATCTCACCCTTCCCCCCCAAGTCCCATGGGGCCAGGCCCCGATCCTTCACCCCTTCCCGTGCAAACACTGATCCACAAAATAAATAAACCGCCTAGACCCCCAGTCACTCCGCAGGGGCTGAGCCCCGCTGCATGATGGGAAACGCCAGTCCCCACGGCAGGGGGCCACGGTGAGCCCCAGCGTCAGTCAGTGCTTGGCACAGATCTCCCAGAGCTCCTCAGGTCACGGGGTCAGGAGTCGGCCAATCGCAGCAGGGTCCCGGAAGTGCTGGGGATGCTGGGAAAACCAGAGAGAGGCTGTTAGCTTAGCTCAGTCGCTGGGATGATGAGGCAGCACTCCTGGGTTCTCTCCCGGCTCTGGGAGGAGAGTGAGGCCTAGTGGTGAGAGCAGGGGGGCTGGGAGCCAGGACTCCCGGGTTCTCTCCCCGGCTCGTGTGTGTGTAACGTACCAGTCGACCAGCTGTGCCCCGATGAGGTCATGGATGTGGTAGGGGAGCCCCAGTTTCACGGCGCTGGGAGCCCGACGGCTCTGCAGATCCGACAGTAAAATCTCTTTGTACTTGGCCTTCTGGATCATCCCCAGCACGGCCTTGCGCCCTGGGCCGGGAGAGAGCGGACTTAGTCGGCCTTTTCCCTCTTGGGGGCGCTGGCTCTGGCCCGGCTCCAGGGCAGGGGCTGGCTGGGGGGGAGGGGCGTGTCCCACACAAACCTTTGATGAAGCATTTAACGAAGCGCCCGGCTCCTGGCACGGCTAGCCACCAGCTGCCAGCATCACGGACGGTCAGGACCCCGGCATTTACCAGCTGCCTGGGACAGGGGACAGGAGAAGAGACCCCGTCACCTCACTGTCCTTCGCTCCAGAGACCCCTCGCCTGGCGCCGGAATGCAGCCCCTCTGGGGCGGGGCAAGGGGCTGGTTACCCAGGGACCCCTCACCCGGCGCCAGGCTCTGCTCCCCTGGGATGGGATGCGGGGATGGTTATGCAGGAACCCCTCCCCTGGCACAGAGATGCGGCCCCTCTGGGGTGGGGAACAGCCGCATAGAACACCAAGGGGCGCAGGGGTGAGGAGGGGAAGGGGAACGTAGCTGCCACGGGACCCAGGAAGGCTGCGTGGCCCCTGCCCACCCCCGCGCTCCCAGCCACCCACGTGATGTCCGGGTCCCGGAAGCCGAAGTCCCTCAGCATGCGGCCATTGTCGTAGCTGAGTTCAGGACAGGAGGCGAACGCCGTCTCCAGGAACCTGCGCACCGTCCCGGCGTGCTCCTTCCCCGCCACGGACTGCAGCACCTGGGCAGAGACGGGAGGCCTGTCATCACCAGCCAGCCCCCCCAAGGGCTGCGGGGACCCCCCTCCCACGGCCGGGGGCCTCGGCAGCCCTGCTGGGGGGTCAGAGACCCACCTTGGCCGTGTAGTCCTGGGTGAACGCCACCCCGAAGACGTCCGAGTCGAATCCAAGCTGGAAGAGCCGGATCAGCCCCTCGTCCTTCAGCCGGCTCTGCGGGGGGAGAAGGTTAATGGGGGGGGGGGTGACGTTGCACCCCATAACGCTTTATAGAAATATGCTTATGAGTGTAAATATGACAGATATCACTTGTGTATCTGTAACTAGGAATAGGAAATATAACTCTGAGGGCCTATTGTAATTATGCAAAGTGGGGGCCGTTAATGGGGGTTTGGAATCTTGATGGCTCCCATCAACCAGGACAATTGACTGAGGATGGCTCTGTTTACTTGCAAGCCTTCCTGTGAGTCAGACCTGGAAGAATGGAGGCTGGGGTCTCACAGGACATGTGACCATGTCACCTGGTACTGGAATCCAGCTTAAACCTGGGGCTTTGCCATGTAGACGGGGTGGGGACCCAAAAAGACAAAAGATTCCCACCTTGTGCCAAAGCTATAAAAGGGGGTGGAACAGAACAAAGGGGGCTGCAGTAATGAGAAATCCCCGAGTTACCACCTGAGCTGAAACAAGGGCTGTCCCCGGAGAAGGAACGGGCCCAGACTAGGAAGGAGTCTAGTCTGTGAAACAAGCGTCTTGGAACATCTCTGCGGGTGAGATTTACCTGCATGTAGTTTCGTACTATATTAGGCTCAGACTTGCGTGTTTTGTTTTATTTTGCTTGGTAATTTACTTTGTTCTGTCTGTTATTACTTGGAACCACTTAAATCCGACTTTCTGTGTTTAATAAAATCACTTTTTACTTATTAATTAACTCAGAGTAAGTATTAATCCCTGGGGGAGCAAACGGCTGTGCACATCTCTCTATCAGGGTTACAGAGGGCGGACAAATGATGCGTTTACCCTGCATACGCTTTATACAGAGTACAACGGATTGATTTGGGGTTTGGACCCCATTGGGAACTAGGTGCTGGAGACAGGAGCACCGATGAAGCTGTTTTCAGTTAAGGCTGCAGGTTTGCGGGCACGGCCCAGACCTGGGTCGCAGTTGCAGCAGGCTGGCGTGTCTGGCTCAACAAGGCAGGGCACTGAAGTCCCAGGCTGGCAGGGAAACGGGCTCAGAGGTAGTCCCAGAACATCAGGTGGCAGCTCCCAATTGGGTTTCTGTGACCCAACCTGTCACAGGGGGGCAGCCTGGGGAAGGAGATCCCAGGCTGGAGGGGCCCCTGAGTCTGACGGGGGGGGGCGGGGGGGGCTCTTACCAGCTGCCTGTCCACGGCCGTGCGGTCCCTCACCAGACTGTAGAGTTGGTGCTTCAGGACAGGGGGGGCAGCGCATCCTCGAACAGCTGGCGAGGGAAGAGGGAAGCAAGATACCGGAGAGCCGAATCCACCGCCCCGGGGCCCTCTGCCAACCAACAGCACAGGGTCAGCCGGGAGAGAACCCAGGCGTCCTGGGGCTCAGTTCCCCCCTGCTCTGACCCACCAGCCCCCACTCCCCTCCCAGAGCCGGGAGAGAACCCAGGAGTCCTGGTGCCTCGCCCCCACCCCAGTTACCCTGTCTGTCCGGTTCTCCTGCATCCCCAGGGTCGGGTCCCGGCTGCAGCCGCCGCTTCTTGGCCTTCAGGGTGTTGGAGATCAGCTGGCGGCGGCGCTCCATGGGGCTGGGGGGGGACGGGAGGGTTAGCACAGAGGGAGCCCCCGGCGGGTCCATCCCGGTCATCCCCTTCCCCCCTCAGCTGGTCCTCTGCCTACCAGCCAGATCCCCCTCCCCCTCTCCCCAGCCAGATCCCCC